TGTCTTTTGGGGGCTGGGGGGGCACACAGCTGAAACAGGTCCTTGCTCTCTGATGCTAGTTTCTAACCACACCATAGTTCCAAGCAGGGCCCAGGGAGAATCCCATGGTATGCTCATCTGGAGAGATCTGCTGCCTCTCTGGTCATTTGAACCGCTAGAGCCTCATATGGGGCTTGGTGAATGCTGGTTTGAATTATGTGCCTCTGTCAGAAGGGAGCAAAGCCTGGGTTATGAACATTGGTTTTGTTCTTTTGAGAGAGTTGGTTCTCTTGGATCTCTGTTCAGGTCAAATAATGCGTTAGTTTGTTCCCTCGTGCACATGCTTATATGTTAGTTTACTCCTGAGCTCACCTTTGCAGTGAAACAGGTAGTTTCTCTGATATGTTTTCTCCTGGCTGTGTTTTCCTGGGGCAATGCAAACAAAACTGTGCCTGCTTTGGCACTTTCCACCATCTGTGGTCCTTCAGTACCATCCTAACAGGTCCTGCACCTTCAAACGCTTCCCCACTTCCTTGTGTTGTGCCAAACAACGTGTCTTGCTGTCCTCAGTGCTGTAAAAATGCTGATCTGTTGAGCTGTGGCACGTGGATCTCCTGCGCAGACACAGTTTGTCTCTGAAGCGAAGAGCTTTCTTAAAGTCGCAGTGTATGGAGAGAGTTCTAATAATTAGAAGGTTTGGGAGAAAATAGCCGATGTAACATAGGAACAAACCAAATCTGGAAAGTATTTCTACCTGAAGAATCTCAAGGGCTTTTATTGAAGAGGAAAATAAAAGAAAGTCCTAGCCAAGCAGCTCCCCAAAACTGAAAATGTTACCTAAATCCTTGAGCAAAATGTACATTTTAGAACGACAGCTTTCTCCAGAATTTGTAGTGGAAGAAATGCCCTTTAAGCAAGGGGTAAAATTGGAAAGGCAGTTTGACAAGTTTTTTTTGAAAGGATTTGATTGTGACTGGCCTTTGTAAGGATAAAGCTGGGCTTAACCCAGTATCTTGAGTGTAGCATCCGTGAGTTTTTTCAAGTATAATAAAATCTAAATATGAACGTTGCTTCAGGCATCTGTCCCTAGAAGTATGGTTCTGAGGATAAGTACTTTTTGGCAGATTTAAAAGCTGCAGGCATTGTGGTTTCAAATTCTTAATCTGAATTTTGCAGCTTGGATCAGTGAAATAAGAGGGAACAGAATCTGATCATTTACAAAAGAGGAAGCATTTTAAAATAGATACTGTGACCAAAGCCAAGTCTCTTAGGTTACTCCAAAGAATTTGTGTAAACTGAGATTCCAGATTGTATAGTACAATTTTGCACTGTAAAAAGCAATTTCTTTCAACATCCAGCACAGTGAGATTTAAAACAGGAACATCACCAGCTTCTGAAGATACTGCAATTTTTCTGGCAAACAGAAGTTCTGAGAAACATGATGTTCCCCAGTCCTACGCCAAGACTTCATCTTGGATCTGCCTTTTGTCTTAGAATTAGCAAATGGGCCCAAAATCCAAGCACTTTTTATAGCTTCAGCAGCAAGGCTTTCTTACTAATTCCCTTTCTGAAGTTTAGTTATTTAATAAAATAGCTCAATGAAATTTTTGAGTAGTAATTAGGCTGCTAGCAGTAAGATTCTCACACCACTAAACTTGCATTCATTTTTATGAAATTTAGGGTAGAGTGTTCAGTTAAAATGAACTCTCGCTTGCTAATAATTTTTTTTTCTTTCATTTTCTTGCTTGTGTGCCAATTTCCACAACCTGACGTTACAGGGTCTTGTTGAGATGTACTGAACTAGAAAAATTCTACTGCCTTTTTTCTAAAGAAAAAGGCACATACCTTAATTTAATTGAACTTAAACTTGTTTATCGCGAGGCTACTTCATTGTATTTTAGATAAATATTATGCAATATGGAAAAATTGTTCCATATATTCTGAAGTTCCCAGTCTCCCTAAATAATGTGATACTAAACCACTTTTTCTCTCCGATAACACCAATTTGTGTAAAATGTTGGTGAATCAGATTTTTTTCTTTAGGAGATATGACAGTGGAGTCTGGGAGACAGAAAGGCTCGTAACTGATTTTATCCCAAACTAAGCAATTGTGTTTGGGAAAGCGAGGACAGGGACAGGGCTTTTGCGTGATAAATGTTACTGCCTGACAGCTCCACTGCCTGGTTTTAGTGGAAAGCACACATGAGGAAGTCCCTTTGCTTGTGCTGAGATAATGCTCTTGGCACAGAAAACGTGATCAGCAATGTTAAGTCACATTACTGGCTGTCTGAAGAGTTAACCATGAAGTAACACTGAATGACAAATACAATCTTTTGCTTAAAATAATTTGCTGTCAGAGATGTGTAAGAAGCATTACAATACATAGTTACTATAGAGTTTATTTAAAGAACTGTTTAATATATTTTAATTTTCTCTTACAGAGTATTAATATTAGGAGCTTCAGGAGGAGTTGGTACATTTGCTGTACAGGTAATATAAACCAGCATGCCCAGGATGCATCTTCAAACTATTCAATATGAAAAAAAAATTAACGGAAGAGAATTGAGGGAAGGAAAGTGAAATAGCAAGCTACTGATCCATCTGTCTGATCAATCTGATCGATATTTCCAAAAGTGAAATATTTTCAGATTTATTGCTTTCCATTTGTTACGTTGTATTAAAGGAGGAAGCAGGGACTTTCAAAGAAAGGAGTTGTGACTGTAGGTAGTAAAAGATTGCATTTCACAGTTTGGGTGCAGGAAATCTCTAATTGGTGTAACTTGAAATATGTAGCTTGTTTTCATTATCTTTCAGTCAGCTCTGCTCCATGAATATGAAAAGAATTTGGTGTATGAGTAGAAAAACTGATGGAGAATGTATCATCTACCGTAACTGTTGTAGGTGGTCAAGTGATGTGAGAGGCACCAGGCTTTTATGTGCAGTGTATGTAAAGCACAGTGGCTTAGATTAGCTTTCCCTCACTGTCTTTGCCCTGCTGCGTTTTTGTCTGTCTTCATTCCAGTAGCTCTAAACTTCGGAGAGTCAACATGCTCTTTTATCGATCCATTAATTGTGGAACATCCTCTTTCCATGCTTTCATTTAATTTGGGGATTTTGATTCTAATTGGTATCATCTCATGCTGAAACATTTTTCTCTTGAGAATATGAAAAAAATACAGAAGTTGAGTGGTTCCATCACTCTGTTCCATGTTACTAGACCATAACCATAGTGGTTTTAAAGAGGCTTACAGGAGAATTTTTAGTGGTATGCTATTTGCCTGATCCGTGATAAAGCAGGTGGCTAAAAGAGATCAGTACGAAAGGCTGACCAGCCACTGACTAGTTGCGATTTCTACCTGATTAATCCTGAGTAAACTACATTAATTAATTTGGAATAAATGTAAAAAATATTACTGTGAATGAAAAATGAGATTACAAAAGAGATAAATAACTAGCAAAAATCCTTTACTTTGCTATAGCTTTTGGAGTAGAAGATAACTTGACATTCTCCCTGTGGTAAATCAGAGATTACTTCCTTCTTTTTCTCGTTCTTAATATTTGAGCTATTTACAGTGAGATAGATATATGAAATACTTAATGAGCAGTAGGAATATAAAATATTTAATGGTTGATCTGGTGACAGTTTTGTAGATTGGTAACTTGTACAGTACCTCTTGGTATACATTTAGCTGACAGGTTCAGATGGCAAACTATTTTATTTGAAGCCTTATTTATCCTGAGACCTGATATCTGTAAGTGGCATTAAAAAACCACCCACCTTCCTCCAACAACTCCTCCCTCCCCAAAACCTCCTTAAATATTGATAAATTCTAACCATTGTTTGTTTGTGGGATGTGTGACAAGTTATCCTGTGTTGGAACACAGTCTCCTCACTCTCTACTAAAGGTGCTCATTTATTATATAAATATAACAAGAGTTTGGCTTTTTAAGTTGTTCTGAGTGTTTCACTGAATTTTAAACTTTGGACTAATTTTTTTTTTATACTTGTTTTTAGCTAGTGAAGGCCTGGGGTGCTCACGTGACAGCAGTTTGTTCTCATGATGCCAGCACACTGATGAAAAAGCTTGGAGCAGATGATGTGATTGATTACAAATCTGGAAATCTGGAAGAGCAACTTAAAACATTGCCCTTGTACGTGTTTGTGTTGCTTAATACTGAGATGAAGGAGTTGGCGGTCAGACCTTCTGCCTTTTGATTGCTTGACTCCACTCTATCAGAACTCCCTCTTTTTTTTGTTTTTTCCCATTTCTAAAGCATTACTTTGTAAAGCAAATTCATCCCAGTCCTTTTTGAATGCAGTTTGCCAAGTGAGTATCCCAAGCACAGATTTCATTGTAAGACTAAGCTGGTTAATTGGGCTTGTGGAGGCAAGCTCACTTTTACATGCTTCTTTTCAATGACTGTGATTTGAACAGTTTTGTTACCTTCCATCCAAGGATCTTGGAGCATTTACAAAGCATGAATAAATTAAAGAAAGTAGCAGAAATCCTGTGTGAGGTTAGTAAATAGTAAAATTGATCTACTAGAGGGAAGAACTATGTCATGAAGCAGTTAGGTGACTTGCCTGAAGGTCTTCAGCCACTGTGCAACTCAACTGGGAGTAAATTTCTCTTCTGTAACATCGGGTACGGCTGCCTCTGATGAACAATCACACTTATCTTGTCACAGCAATTATGTTTAAATTAGCTTGGGGTTTTTCTCTAGAACTGAAGTCTTTTTTGCTTTTGTAATCTTTTCCATCTGTTTAAACTTAGTCTACTGTGACTTGTATTTGAATATGGTACTTACATGGCTCTTTTTAGCTAGATTGAGTTAGCTTTCTGGGAGGGGAAATAGAAGCTGTTCAATCTACCAGAATCTTACCGATAACTGTGCTAAGAAGGCATGTGCCCTTTAACTATGGTGTGATTGTCAGCAGGCCTGAGGTCAACTGTGAGGGTACTGGCACTGTCCGTATGGGGAGGGTGTGCAGCAATTAGCTTAACGGTTTGCAAGCAGTGCTGAATTTGCCTTTGTGCAGTTCAACATCTTAAATGCTAAACACCCATTCTAGCAAGTGACCCTTTTTAGGAGCTATCAACAGCACTGTCTTAAGGTGCAGTTTTATGATGTAGCTGAGCCGATCAGTCAGGTATACTGAGGGGGATGGTCCTACTTCCCTCCCCTTTTCAGTTGTACTGAGTCTTCAGGCTTCATGGTAAGCTAGTTTTTCCTGGAGCCTTAGTTTCATGATTTTAATTTTGCTTGTTGGCAGCTAACTGTTAGGTTGACTGAACTGTAACATGAAATCACATCCTTGGAAGACAGGCAGGAGAACTATCCTTCCAGAGATAAGAACTTTTCTATTTAATTTGCATAAAGTATTTTCCCTCTTATTTGTAGGTTATTTAGATTCAAAGTATGTGTGTATACATATCTATTGCAATCTGGAGATTGCTGGAAATTTACAGATGAGAATGAGCTGTGCATCTAACAGAATAGGTGCATAGCTCCCTGTTGCCCTATTCAGCCTTTACAGACTCACATGCTGGGATAATGAGAAGGAATGCTGAAACGGTGGCTTGTTGCCAGAGGCTGCACATACCCATTCCATGGGGGGAGGGTTTCAGACCCCTTCCATTGTTAGGTTCTATGTCAAATAGGTAGATTTGATGAAAAGAACTGTCAGTAAAGGTAAAATGGTCCCAAAACAAATAGGAAGGTCGAAAAAGACTTTTAGAAGTGAAGCTGAGAATTGGGTCACAGAAAAGACGTGAGGAGAAAAGGGTTAGTAGAGTAATTTTTTTATGTAACTTTGGCCACTGCAACCAACTTTCACGTGAGTACAGCATGTACAGGAGATGTTCCTAGTCAGGGCATGAGTCCAGACTAGTTTTTACATGCATATAGCATATTATTCAATGCTAGGGCCAGACCTCCAGACTGTTCAGTAGCCTCAGTGGGAGGGCTGAAGAGATGGAGCTCTAGAAGGCTTTGAGGAAATAGGGAATGTAGTTGTGCATCTAAGAGTCTACTTTTTGGAGTTTAAGAGCAGTTTAAGATATCTAAATAGCCTGTGTCTGCTGTGCAGTGAATGGACAATAACCCGTAAATTTAACTCCCATTGTACAGTAAAGCTGGGATTTAGCTGAAGTCTTGGGACTTTCTTGCTACTGTCTTGCAGGCAGTTATTTTAATGCATTGCAGTGATATGTAAAAATATAGACTACAGCGAATTTCTGATATGAATTAGCTTAATTATGATGAAATTATTTTCCCCATACCATGATTTTAAATCTGTTCTTCACATGTCTGCAGATTTGATTTCATCCTAGATAATGTTGGTGGATCCACTGAGAAGTGGGCTCTAGATCTCCTGAAGAAATGGTCAGGAGCAACATATGTTACCTTGGTGACACCTTTCTTGATCAATATGGACAAACTTGGAGTGGCTGATGGCATGTTACAAACAGGAGTCACTGTTGGTTCCAAAACTGTAAAGGTATTTGACAAAATCCTATATACTTTAATATTATGTAGTACTCTAGTGGCTTCCTTTGTGGCTTGGATGCTAGTCATGTGGCTCATCTGTCTTATTTTCCTCATATATCATTAAGTATACTTCAGATGCATTTTTATTCTTCTTTCTTGCTCTGGAAGAAAAATGTGTTGGGGTAGTGCTGATTGGTGTATGTGGTAGTTTGGGGTGCTTTGAAGTTTTGATTCCTTATTGTGCTTTTCATTGTGGCCTTTTCCATATGGCCTCTCTAGCGAGTCCTGCTGACAGCTAATGTTTCATAGTAAACAGAGCAAATCCCTGCCTCATTGAAGTGAGGGTAATTTTGCTACTTGCTTTAGGCTGGTCAGGCTTTCTCTTAAAACATTGTTCCATGACTGATTCTCTTCATCCTATTCCAGCACTAGAGAGTAATAAAAGTGGTTGAGGGTGGCTAGAAAGTCTTTCATCTCTTTCATGTTCACGTGTCTGGATGGTGGTACTGATTTTTCTAGTTTTCATAAGTGGATCTTAAAAAATTCAGCCAGTGGCCAGATCAGTGAGGCTTTTTAGAACTTCTCTCTTTCTTCTCTCAACATGTGTACTTGCTCTCCAAATGAATGCTTTTCAAGCAGTTGCCATGGTATTCCTGTGATGGCATTGTTGAATGAGATTCTAAGTCCTGCACCGATACTTTCAAAGGAAAGGTCAAAAACAAAATGAAAATGCTGGGAAGAAATCATGTAATATTATTTCTCAGTGTGCATGTTCCCATGATGAGGAGCATTGTGTGCCATGTATTAAAAATCATCTGGCCACCTTACTCCTATTATGACTTAATCAGAGGAGGTGCTCTTGACTTGTGCTTGTGAGATCTTCCCAAAATGCTTTTCATGGGAGCTGCCATCTGTCATTGGACGGTGATGACTTTGGCAGATGTGATGGCGGAATATTTAATCACTGACACTGAGGTGGAATGTTCTAAATGTCACATTGCTGGCTTTATTTCACCCCCTTTATAAATGTGTATAAACATATAGCACCATTTTTCTGTCATGTAACAAATAATGCTGTTTCTAGCTGCAGAGACAAGATAGTTGTTTTTCTCAACTAGCTGACTTGTGCAATTGGACACAAAATTCACCCTGATACTATTGTGGTAATACAACATCCCTGTCTGTACATTTAATCCACATGCTTCGGTGACTTTTTTTTTCAGAATTAGCATATAGTTTTCCTGTCTTTTCCTTAAGTTACTTCTCTAGTGCTTCTGTCATTAATTTTAGTTCCCATTTCGGTTTCTTCTCATGATTTTTTAATATATTTGTAATCTTTCTTGCAGCATCTCTTTAAAGGAGTCCATTATCGGTGGGCATTTTTTATGCCAAGTGGCCCAAGTTTGGATGAAATAGCAGAACTAGTTGATTCTGGAAAGGTATGTCAGTAATGGTTATTTGGCTATTTGTGCTGAAAGAGATGCTGCTTTGACTCAAAAATGGTGTAGTTCGCAATTAGGGAATAAAATGTTATGAGAGTCACAGTGAGGAAAACTAGTTAAGAATTGACTTGCTCCAGTTTCTAACTTCTGCATTTTGCATGGAATTCAGGAGTTCGTAGTCCTTAAGACTGTTCTGCCTTCTCCGTCTCCACCCTACCTGTTTTTAAAAACTCAAAGCTTACTAAGTTATGAGGAAAGAATGTCCAGCAATTGTTTATTTTTGCCAGTGGGAATCATTTAACATGAACTCTGGTGCTGAAAATGGTCTGTTTTAAGAGGCCTCATTTGGTTCATTTGGTCAGAATGAACATGACTCTGTGTATCTGCATATGCAAAATTGCCTAGCCTGGATGATCAGGAGTCCTGCCCATAATGTGCACAGAATTAGAATATTCAGGTTATTGCAGGTATAGACGATCTGCAGAGTGGTGATAAGAACTTTGTGTTCCATTATTTCAGTGCTTCAGAGTATAATCTTTGTGCTAATTCAGCACAGTGACTTGGAATATCGTGAGCATTCATAAGGTTTTGGGGAATCTCTTAGTGGACTTGGGGGAAAGGCATGAAGTGGCAGATAGATTACTGCTTTTCTGATCTTTTCAGGTTTATAAGCTTGTTACAAAATGTGTGTGAGAGTGAGCAGTTGATTGCCTGTTTATTGGACTGTGTGGTGCTGTAGGTCCTGACAGTGTCCTCTTTTGGATAATTTCATGTTGCCAAAATTCCCTGAGTAGAGAATATGGACAACTGCTGTTAATCTTTCTATATGGTATCTAAGCAGAAGGGGAAGCAGAGTCTGCCATGACTGCTGGCAATTCCAGTAGGTGAACTGTCAGGCCATGTTGTGCTCAGAATTTGTGCATATTAGTAAAATTTAGATGTCTCAAAGTTTGAGCATTGATCTCCTTTTCCGCTATGTGTTATGTTCCAGACTTTGGAGAAGAGTAAATAAATTGCCATTGTACTTAAGGCCTGATTGCATCTATTTGCCACCTCAGTGCTGCTGATCAGAATAAAAATCTTCCTTAATTCAGCCACTCCAATTCCTCTGTCATGACCAGTGTGCTGCTGATGCAGCCAGTGGAAAGTCTGTGTTTCCGAAGAAGTTACCTACTCATAAACAGAGGCTGCAGCATCAAATAAGCTGTGGTGCAGCGTGTTCCTGGCTACAGCTTTGCACCACTCTGCTTTGCATTATGTCCAGTGCTGTAGGCATTATCCCATGGTCAAGAAAGAAACTCTAGAAGATGCTCCTCATCCTGTGATTGCATCCAATCACACTACTAAATTATAATTTTTTAAGAAACAGAAATGCCCTTGTCTTTGTTCTTACCATTTGTCCTAATTCTTAGCCAGTCACAACTTGTTTTGTGTTCTGCTCCTACCTTGTATGCAAAACAAATGCAGAATATGCCCATGAAAGCCTCTTGGGAAACAGCTGTTTATGCAATAGAGATAGGGCTTAATCGGCGTTCTCTGCCTAATAATCTGGACAGGTGAATTGTAATGCCATTTAAAATGTACGTCATACATATATGAATGTCCTGATATACTTTTTGTTGTAAGATGATCATGAGGACAAATATGTTTGCTTTGTCTTTTATTTTCTGTGCAAAAACAGGTCATAATGTCAGACTGTTTATCTGCGTAGTCATTATTCTAGCAGCATTTTACTCTATTTTGTAAAATGTTGTAAACACCCATGCTATCATCAGTATTTTATAAGACCCAGATGTGTTCCATTTAGACAGATGTTAATAAGACTATGACCTTTATTGTCTAGACACAACAGTTCTCTTAAATGGACAGATCATCCATTCAGAAGGGTAAGTGTTTGGAAAAAAGGCAGGAGAGAATTACTGGAGGAAGTGTACCATAATTTCCCATAACTAAGTGAAAAGAAATGTTTATGTTTGAATAGGAGACAATAAATGAGAATTAAAAAAAAAAAAAACACAAAGCAATAAAAGTGTAGCAAGAAGACTTGGGGAAGCCAGTGAAGTGAGCTCATGTAGTTGAATTTCTTAGTTTTGAGTGAATACAGTTTTGAGTAATGCAGACTTAGTTATTTTGAAATTTCAGTGAATCATCTTTTCTGTTACAGACATCTTTATTTTGAGATTGTATGAAGTGTGAATAGGAGAGCAATGGGAGAGCTCCTGAAAATGAGAGGCTTTTTTCAGGGAAGTATAAATCATAAGGGGGGCTTTAAATGAAGGAAATTAAAAAGAGCTGATGATTTAAAGAGATGATGTTACAGTAAGTGAAGTTTGAAGAGCATATCCCTGAAGCATATTGATTTGTCGGTGTTTTTTCTTTTAGTTCTTTTGCACCAACACAGATTTTTAGTTCTGATGAGTTCATCATGTTCCTTTGCGAAAGCAAAAGGATTCTCAATCCTTCAGTGGATGAAGAATAAGCAAAAAGGGCATTTTGTTTTGGTTTTAACACGGATGATCTTTGCAGCAAAGAATAGAGATTTGCAGAATGTCAGCTATGAGGAGGAGTTCTTCTAACAGCCTTTTTTAATGGGGAGAAGAAGGAGAGGATTTGATGAGCTGGTAATGCAAAGAAGTAGAATAATTTTCCTTTTGTAATTTACCTGCACATGAGCTCAGTTCTGGGGATTGTAAAACCATTTTCAGTTTATGAGCTGTTTTCTCTGCCTTGCAGCTGAACATCTTGCAAAGACACTATTGTGAGACTGAGGGACTGGGAGGCTGCTGCAACAGTTATGGGCATGGAGAAAATCAAGTATTTCCTTGTCAAATTTTAGAGATACTGGCTACTTTCTAAACTGCTGGGAAGTCCCTGTTGTGGGTTGAACTCCCCAGTTAATTACGAGGCGATAAGGACTGGCTTAACATGAGCTCCACCAAATGAGTTGATGAAGCGCACGTCCGAGGCTGGGGATCTCTTTCCATGGCAGAATGTTCCTGGTGAATTACAAGATTCTCATCTAAAGACAACTGAAATCAACAGAGCCTTTAGTTCAGGACACAGATCTGCTGGCACACTGTTTGCTGAAGCATCTTCACTGGTCTCTGCTGCCAGCATCATCACTGAAAGGCTTGTTAGGAATTAGTTTGATGTATTTGTGGTCACTGTTGTGGATTTAACATTGACAGTCTTGGTTTTTGCTGCTTGCTTAACTTTTTCCTCCTTTCTAAGGATGTGCCATTTAGTCCTTGATGAAAACATACCAAGCTCTTACGACTACATAAGTTTGTTGAAAGTCTCTAACTTATAGCTGAGTACTTACTGTGCCTTTTGTAAAGCCTGATGGAGGAAGGCAGGCTCAAAAGACTCCTTAGTGTAGTAAGGGGGAGCACTAAGTATGTTGTATGTTCCTGCTCGACTACGATAGGATGTAGGTTAACATGCAGCCCTGCAGAAATTTCAAATTTTCATTTTAATTCAATGTCATTTAGATGCAGTGCAGGTGTGTGTGTGCAGTATTTCTTGTGGCTTAGTACTCTTTCCTTCAGAGCAGAGTTGCATCAGGTGGGCTGATGGGTGAAAGTTGGTTTGCAGAAGGAAGGGTAGAGGACAAGTAGAGTCTCTGATCATGAAATGAATAGATCATTCTTGTGTTGTTTGCTTTCTAGATAAATTTTACAGCACAGGCATACATAAGAAAAACAATTGCCTGCCTATATTAATGTAATTTGTGTGAAATGTTGCTTATACATTTTGCTGAAGACACTAGATGCTTTGGACTTAGCACCTGCTGTTGTGGTTTGGAGGACAGGATCCTGACTGTTCCTTGGCCCTGCTGTCTTCCTGTGTGATGCTGTACAAATCGCATAACCTTTTGCTACCATAATTTCTCTATCTACTAATGAGGGCTAATGCCCTTTATCCACTTTTGGTGATCTGCTCCGAGATACCCTGTTAAAATGTGGAATTCAGTTGTTTTCTATTGCTAGCCTTTGCTATTCGGGAAGTAAACACAAATGGATACGGTCATCCACTTTGACATTACTTGTGTTTTGAGTTGTTTGGATGGCCATGATTTAAGATGGCTTACATTCCTCCTGCAAGCATAGGTTATCACAGCTTCTTGACTCTGTATCCTAACCCATGTGTATTGATTTGCTTCCAATTCATCTTGTTACAGTTCTGCAAGTGACTTTTTCCTTGGCCCTTGTTGCACAATTGTTGCAGATTTCTCTCATCTGTATGAATATCAAACAGCTAATGTAACCTATTGAGTCCTTGAACGTTCTCCAAATCTGGCATCTCTCGTTGTGGCCTTCTCTGCAGTAATTCCAGTCTTTGTCTTTATGGCTGTGCTAAGGTGTCTTACGGTACCCAAGGTGACTCGCCCTTGGGTGGTGCCTGCTTTACTCTCCCTATCTGAAAAAGGACACTAGGGTAGTGATTCTGTACTTCAATGTCTAAATTGATTAGAGATCAGTCCTTCTTCCCACTCTCTTTAGTCACTCACACTCGTTCTGACAACCATCTTTCTCCATGCTAAATTGCAAAGCTTGCACGTCTCTTCCCGCCCCCCCTGCACACACACCC